GATTATATTATAGATAATTGAAATAATTTCTTCCTTAAATGTTTGGTAGAATTCACCAGTGAACCCATCTGGGCCTGGTGCTTTTTGCTTGGGAAAATTATCAAGTATCCATTTGATTTCTTTACTAGATATGGGCCTATTCAGATTGTCTTGGCAGTTTGTGTCTTTCAAGGAAATGGTTCATTTTATCTATGTTACCAAATTTGTGGGCATAGAGTTGTTCATAGTATTCCTTTATTATCTTTTTAATGACCATGGGATCTGTAGCTATCTCCTCTTTCAATGCTGATGTTAGTAGTGTGACGTCTCTTTTTTTTTTCTTAGTTAAACTGACTAGAGGCTTATTGATTTTATTCACCTTTTCAAAGAACAAGCTTGATTTGGTAGATTTTCTCTATTTATATCTTATTTTCAATTTCATTGATTTTTGCTCTAATTTTTATTATTTCTTCTTGCTTTGTATTTAATTCGTACTTTTTAAAGTTTTTTTAGATAGAAGCTAGATGATTGATTTTAAATGTTTTTTCCTTTTTTAAAAATTTTAATTTAATTTAATTATTTATTTTTATTTTTTGAGTTGGAGTCTCACTCTGTTGCCCAGGCTGGAGTGCAGTGGCTCACTCCTGGCCACCACAACCTTGACCTGCTGGGCTCAGGCTATCCTTCCGCCTCAGCCTTCCAAGTAGCCGGACTACAGGCACTTATTACCAATCCTGGCTAGTTTTTGATTTATTGTAGAGATGACGTCTTGCCAAGTTGCCCAGGCTGGTCTTGAACACTTGGGCTCAGACAATCCTCTTGCCTTTACCTCCCAAAGTGCTGGGATTACAGGCGTGAGCCGCTGTGCCTGGCAGAATATTTGTAATTCTCTCCACTGCCTAGTATCACTGCTGTCACTAATTTCATTTATATATAAGCTATAATCATCAAATACATTGGTATTTTCAATAGACTTATCTGTTAGATCAATTAAGCATGTGAAAAATATTTTTATTTTTACTTATTCCTTCTGTAATGCTCTTCTCTTATTTATGTATATCTGAGTTTTTTCTTTTTGTTTTTTTTTTGAGTAGGAGTCTCACCCTGTCGCCCAGGCTGGAGTGCAGTGGCACGCTGACAGCTACTGTAGCCTTGACCTGCTGGGTTCAGGCAATCCTTCTGCCTCAGTCTTCTAAGTAGCTGGAACTATAGGCACGTGCCACCATGCCCAGCCTATGCGCGCGCGTACACACACACACGCATATTTTTTAATTGTAGAGACGAGGTCTCACCTTGTTGCTCAGGCAGGTCTCGAACTTCTCAGCTCAGGCAATCCTCACACCTCTACCTCCCAAAGTGCTGGGATTGCAGGCATCAGCCAACATGCCTGGCTTGAGTTTCTGACCTATATCATTTTCTCTCTCTCTAAAGAACTTCTTTTAACATTTCTTGTAAAGCAAGTCTATTAGCAAAAAGTTCCCTCAATACTTTCTTTTTGTTTTTCCTGAGAAAGTAATTTTTCTTTCACTTCTGAAGGGTAATCTCACAGGATACATAATTTGGGTTGGTGGGTTTTTTTCTCTTGTCATTTGAAGTGTTTCACTCCACTCTCCTTGCTTTCTTGGTTTCTCAAGAGATGGAATATAGAGTAATTCCCTCTTATCTTGAGAGATACTTTCCAGCACCCTCAGTGGATGCCTCAAACTGCAGATAGTACCAAACTGATTACCATCAATCAGTTTTCATGTCTTCCAGCCACAAATTCCACCCTTTTTCCATCTTAACTAAGCACTTATGCATGTTGCTGTAACTTTTGTAGTTTGAAGTGTGTCAGAAAAACTAGCATGATTTGCCTTTTTTTCTTCCTCACATGAATAGATCTGTCCTACTGTAGACTTTAGCACCTCAGGATATGAGTTTTTTTATTATTACATTGAGAACTTTCGCCTTTTCACTTGAAGCACTTTGCAGCTTCTCTTTGGCATACTCAGTTTGCCAGCATCAGTACTCTTGTCCTCTGTGGCCAGTATTAAGTAAAATAAGGGTCATTTGAACACAAGCACTATAATTGTGCAACAGCTGATCTGATAACCAAGACATCTACTAAATGACTAACAGGCAGGCAGAATACAGCTTGGCTATGCTGGGCAAAGGGATGATTCACACTGTGGGCAGGATGGAGTGGGACAGAGTGAGATATCATGGGGGTGCTCAGAACACTGCAATTGAAAACATGAATTGTTTATTTCTGAGATTTTCCATTTAATACTTTTGGATCACAGTTGAACACAGGTAACTCAAATGCTGAAAAGGGAAACTGCAAGTAAGGAGGGACTACTGTAATTCTTAGCACTGCTCCTTTATAGGTAAGGTATTTTTTTCTGACTTCAAGATTTCCTTAAATTTGATTTTCTGATGTTTGAATATGATGTGCCTAATGGCAGGGTTTTTTGTTTTTGGCTTTTTCCATGTGACAAAACCTTTATTAACATTTTGAATAGGTTTAACTACTACTGAAACCAGTAATTTCTAAACTTAAATTGGAGCAAATGGCTATAGTGCAGAGTAATGCCATTATTGGGCACTATGAATATAAGACTGAAGAATAAACAGCTACCCCTCAGATGGAGGACCAGCTGCAGGGTTGACTCTTTCTGGATGTTGTAATTAGAAAGAGTGCAACCATCTTCTAGCTGCTTGCCTGCAAAGATGAGCCTCAGCTGGTCAGGAGGGATGCCTTCTTTATCCTGAATCTTGGCCTTTACATTTTTGATGGTATCACTGGGCTCCACTTCCAAGGTGATGGTCTTGCTTGTGGATCTTTGGTTTGGTATATGACATTAATGTGGGGGAAATTCATTCATTACTGCTTCAAACATTGCTTCTGCTTTTCTCTTTCTTCTTCTGGTATTCTCATTATGCATATGTTATTCCTTTTGTAGTTGTCCCACAGTTCTTGGATACCCTGTCTTATTTTTTTCAATTTTTTAATCTTTTCAGTTTTGGAAGTTTCTTTTGAGAGTCACACAAACTACTAATGAGCCCATCAAAGGCATTCTTTATTTTTGTTATACTATTTATTTCTAGCATTTTAAAAATTATTTCTTAGCATTTCCATTTCTCTGCTTATGTTATCCATCTCTTCTTGCATGTTATGTACTTTTTCCAATAAAGCTCTTAGCGTATTTTAAATCATTGGACTGATAAGTCCAACATTCCTGCTATATCTGTCTCAGGTTCAGATGTTTGTTCAGTCCCTTCAAACTTTTTTCCTGTTAGTATACCTCATAATTTTATGTTGAAAGGTAGACATGATGTACTGGGTTAAAGGAATTGTGGTAAAGAGGCCTTTAATAATGTAGTGGTAAGGTATTGGGAAAGGGGAAATACTTTATCATCTTAAAATTAGGTCTCAGTATTTTGGTGAGCCTGTGAAACTGGACTATGAACTTCATCATTTCTTCTCAGTTTTTTTTCCACCTTACTTGGGACAGGATGGCTGGAGTGGTCTGGAGTTAGATATTTTCCTTTGCCTGGATGGAAGGCTAGAGTTGGCTATTTCCCTTCCCCTTATTAGGTTCGGCTCTCCTAAAACCTCAGCAGGTTAAGTTCTGTTAGAATAGTGCTTCCTGAGGGCAGGCCTTGTAAGAATAGAATACTCGGATGTATTTTAAAAATGGTTATTTTCCCTTCCTCTCAACCAGAGTCTCAAGGGTATTTTTCTATGATATTCCCTGTGAACACCTGGTAGACCTCCTAGAGGTAAAACTCAAAAAAATTTAGGGGGCCTCGCCTGTTATTGGAATTTTGAACTATAGACTTGTCCACACTGAGCCTCTTAGCTAGTCATCAATTACAGTTCAAGTTTTCATATCCTGGCACTGGTTCCTACGGAGGTTTCTGCTCTGGTGAGTTGTGATTATCTGTGTCTTCCTGTCTCCAATTTTGGGGGCAGTGGTTTGCCCTGTAATCACACTTTTCTGAGGGATCTTAGAAGAATCATTGACGGTGCAGGTTTGCTCAACTTTTTGCTTATCGGATGGAGTCGTGACTTCTAAGCTGCTTACGTGTTGAACTGGAAACTAGAAGTCTCCTGTAATGATTTTGAGAAGTCTGCCTTCCATAATTTCCTATCACAGCTAACTGCAGCCTCAACCTTCTGGGCTCAAGTGATCCTCCCTCCTCGACCTCCCGAATAGCAGGGACTACCAGGTGTGTGCCACCACACCCAGCATTTCAAAATTTTAAACTTTTTTTGTAGAGATGAGGTCTTGCTGTTTTTGCCCAGGCTTGTCTTGAAATCCTGGGCTCAAGCAATCCTCCCCCTTTGGCCTCCCAAATTGCTGGGATTACAAGCATGAGCCACCATGCCTGGCCCACCTCATATTATTATAAAATTCTGTTCCAATCAGAAAATGATGAAGTCCATTCCTAAAATCCAGCCTGGAGAAAATCAGGGTTATGGTTGTCCATCAAAAGCATTTGATGGAAAGACACTATTGTACAAAGATGAGCTTCATAATGTTTCAGAAAAATAGAGTTAGGATCATAGACCAAAGTGTCCCAGAAACCCTCCCCACCACTTTCTTTTCCATTTAAAATGTGACTGTAGGATCTCCCAAAGATACTAAGTGAGCACAGTCTGATGCCTTTGTGGGACTGGAAGAATACTTGCAGTGTGTTAGTTAGCAGCATTATGAAACTGCCATTTTCAGATAATTCTGGCAGTAAATATAGCGTAAATGGAGGTGAGGAAGACTAACAACTTGTCTGTCACAATTACTTATCTTCTGATAGCTCTATTTCCCCCTCTTTCTCAGTTACTTATATTCATTTCCCCCCCACTCATTCCCACACCTCTATTTGATCTACTCTGAATTTCTGGGCTTATTGCTGTGAAAGCTATTCAGTTAAGATTTTGTAAAAATTTACTTCTGTTATTAATGAAGGGAGGAATGGCTTTATTTTACTCAGTAAACTAAAAAAAAGAGACATTTACTTTGTTTTTTGGTATCTTTCAGTTTCAAATTGTGAAATCAAAGATTTTTCTTCAAAAAATGTCATTTATGATGGCTCATCCCAATATTTCATAATGGGAAGAATTCTAAGCCAAGGTCCTGTGTATTCCAGTTTTAAAGGAGGCTGGAAATGTGAAGATGATACTGAGATGCTGCAAGGAGATCAGCGATGTATCAGACAAGTTACAGTCTCTCATCAAGAAGTCTTGGCTCAACATATGAGTATCAATACTGTGGAAAGGCCCTATGTGTGTCATGAATGTGGAAAAACTTTCAGTCGGCGCTTTTCCCTTGTGTTACATCAGAGGACTCATACAGGCGAGAAACCATATGCATGTAAGGAATGTGGCAAAACCTTTAGCCAGATCTCAAACCTTGTGAAACATCAGATGATACATACTGGAAAGAAGCCCCATGAGTGTAAGGACTGTAATAAAACATTCAGTTACCTTTCATTCCTCGTTGAACACCAGAGAACACACACTGGGGAGAAACCTTATGAATGTACTGAATGTGGAAAGGCCTTTAGCCGTGCCTCAAACCTCACTCGACATCAGAGAATTCACATAGGAAAGAAGCAATATATATGTAGGAAATGTGGGAAAGCATTTAGCAGTGGCTCAGAACTTATTCGCCATCAGATTACACATACTGGCGAGAAACCATATGAATGCATTGAATGTGGGAAGGCATTTCGCCGATTCTCACACCTCACTCGACATCAAAGCATCCATACAACCAAAACCCCATATGAATGTGACGAATGTAGGAAAGCTTTCCGTTGCCACTCATTTCTTACTAAACATCAGAGAATTCATGCCGGAGAAAAGCTCTATGAATGTGATGAATGTGGTAAAGTTTTCACATGGCATGCATCCCTTATTCAACATATGAAAATTCATACTGGAGAGAAACCCTACTCGTGTGCTGAATGTGACAAAGCCTTTAGTCGGAGCTTTTCCCTGATTCTTCATCAGAGAACACATACTGGGGAGAAACCCTATGTATGTAAGGTATGCAACAAATCCTTCAGCTGGAGTTCAAACCTTGCAAAACATCAGAGAATACACACTGTAGAGAACCCCTATGAATATGAAAATTCATTTAGTTACCACTCATTCTTTACTGAACACCAGTGAATTCACATTGTGAAGGAAAACTGAGAAGGTGCAGAATGTTAAAAAAAAAAGCCTTACTTTCACTTTAGAGAACTCTTGTAAAGAAGCCTTATATGAATGTCATGAACGTGAAGTAATGTGGTCCATACTTTATTCAACATCCTGAAGAAAAACTTCAGGAAATATGTGGGAAAGCCATTAGTAGCCATTCATTCTTTTTGTAGTGACAAGATAAAATCAATATTGAGAGTATTCTTCATCTGCTAATATTGAGCAGACTCTTCATTTGGTTGAATTCTCTCACTATAATTTGTAAATTCCTACCAGGAAAGAGTACATACCCAGAAATTAGCCCTCTTTCTGCATTTGTCAACCAGGATAGAATGCATGGATAAGGAATGAGCTTTACAAAGATGTACTTTGGACATTAGAAAACTCATGCTTAAGCAAAGTGAGACAGACAGTGATTTGGAATGCCTTCATTTACAATGCAATATTTTTTCCATTTTATTATTTTATTATTTTTATTTTTTGAGCCAGAGTCTTACTCTTGTCACCCAGGCTGGAGTGCAGGGGCATCCTCATGGCCACCGCAGCCTCGACCTGCTAGGCTCAGGTCATCCTTCCACCTCAGTCTTCCAAATAGCTGGAATCATAGGCACGTGCCACCACTCTCAGTTAATTTTTTTATTTATTGTAGAGACAAGGTCTTTCCAAATTGCCCAGGCTGGTCTCAAACCCCTGGGCTCAGGCAGTCCTCTCGCCTCCAACTCCAAAGTGCTAGGATTACAGGCATGAGCCACCATGCCTGGCAACTTATTACATTTTAAATACACTTAAGAGAGAAAGCAACTCTATAAATGAATGTAGGTTACTTTCTGCAATATTTGACACCTGTATCAGAATTATACTGGGGGGAAACTACCACTGTAATTAGTACAGCAAGATCTTATATATTTGAGAAGTCCTACTGGATTGAATCTGTGGGAAAGGGTTTTTATTTTGGAGGAGAATTTTTTTTAAGTGGATTTAGAAAAGTTACAAATAAATCTTTGGTTCATAATAAAATAACTTTGTACTTGTTGATTTTTGCCATAGCGTATGTGATTCTGAAAATGTAACTACCAAAATATTGATATCAACAATGAATAGTGTGCTTTTTGAGATATATAAATAATTATAGAAGCATTTTTAGCTTCTATAATTTATTTCTGTGGTTTTAATTTTCAGATAGTATGCTAACTTGTAGTTACGCTAGAATCTATAGACATTTCTTACTCAGTCTGAAGTAAGTGTAAATCATTTACATCACAGGAAAATGCCAAGGTATTTCTGTTTTGTTCCATGTACAATGAAAATAGTTCCCTCGTAAGCACATATTTAAAACAAATTTATATATTATCAGCTGCCTAACTAGCAAAGGTCACACCATCAGGAAGGTAAGCAATTTTATAGAAAGAGAAATAGAGAATATGCATAGGAGTGACTATGAGAATTAATGTTGTAGCTACATTGAAGGTACATCTGTAGAAGGTGTTATTAGATAAATATTTTATGAATAATTTTCTAGGAGGTAGAATTCATAAGTTTAGTGTCAGTAATAGCTTTATTTACACATACTGGAGTACTAAATATATTATCAGAAGCATATTTCTTCAAACCTATCAGGTATGCCATTTTTGTACGAGTATTTTAAAATTTTCCATAAAAGTTGTTTAGGAGAGACTGATTTATCTTTCTGGGGTGGGAGTAGTGTGTCAGAGTCTGTCGCCCAGGCTGGAGTGTAGTGGCACGCTCATGGCCATTGCAGTCTCTACCTGATATACTCAGGTGATCCTTCCACCTCAGCCTTCTAAGTAGCTGGAACTACAAGTGCATGTACCACACCCAGCTAATTTTTTGATTTATTGTAGAGACGAGGTTTCACCAAATTGTCCAGGTGGTCTCAAACTCCTGGACTCAGGCAATCCTCTTGCCTCAGTCTCCCAAAGTGCTGGGATTACAGGCTTGAGCTACTGTGCCTGGTTGGCTGATTTATCTTTTTTTTTTTTTTTTGG